CCGCACTAGGAAGGGGCGCGGTGGGGCTCATGGAGGCTGCCGCTCCATAGGAACATGATGGGCCCTCTCCACCATGTAGGTTGGGGAAACCTACTGCCAGTTCAGGATAGTTTTAAAGAAGCCCCCCTTCAGCGCCCTCCAGCAGGCCAAGTCATTACTGACATTATTCTGCCTAGGGCGGTTTTCTGCATCATCTGACTTTTCAAGCAGGGTCTTGACAGTGCTCTGTATGCTGTGACATCCTCAGCCGAGGAGATGCGACACTCAGTCTCTGTCAGGTGGCCCTGTATCTGCCCCTATAAAATTGCATTCCTCCGTGAGACAATCTATGCTGGAGAGGAGGGAGGATGGCATCCACTCCGGCAGCCAGAGTAGCTGGAGGCTTCTTGTGCAGCGTGGGAGTGATGGATTTTCTCTTGGATGACATGTGCGGAGACACTGCTGTAGCCACAACACTGGCCAGGAGGATCAAATAGGCAAAAAATTGCCCGGCTGTGAGTTTCAGGATGAGTTAGATGGTAGGGTGGTGGGAGCTCTCGAGTGTCTTCTCCGTCATACATCTGGTCATGCTCCCCCCCAAAAAAAAACTTTTACACACTAACCTACATATTACATTTTAACAAGCACTTAGAGTCAGCTTAGTGGAATACTGCATTTTTATGTTAATCAATTGTGCCGCTGATGTCATCCTTAGCCCTAAACTAAATATGCAATTTTTTTCTGTTTTACTTCCAATGCAGACAGGAAACAGCTTTAACTGACTTTAAAATCTTGTAATTAGTCATTAAATTTGAAACTGAATTACAGTTGTCTGTATATACAGTAAGCTGCAGTTACAGTGTGTTAGCATTTAGCACATATTTAATATATTAAAATAAATATGTCAAGTTAAACAATATGACAAGTTAAAGTGATCTTACAAAACTAATAATGCTTTGACATTTTAAAATGGCAGATTCCTGGGTCTTTAAAAATAACATACTCTTTTTTATGTTATATTCTAAATGAGGTTGTGTAGGACATTTAAGTTCATAGTCTCCCTTTAAGCCAGCTGTGAGGCTAATAGTGTTGAAATGAAAATGCTTATCAGTCAATTTGCTCTTGTTCTGGGCATTGTGTTGTGGTTACTGCAACAAGTAATGAAAGCTAAGCTATCAAGATTTAACCTAGTTTATTTACAGGAACATTTGTTGCCTAGAGTTAAACAGTTGTCTATTGGCAAAATATGGAATTTTATAAATATACAACTAACTGAAGTATTGTTTCCCAAAAATGACCTAAGGCATTACAATTCAATGTTTCAGAAGAGCATGACACAACAAATGAAACTGTATGCAAGTACCCTTTTAGACACTTTAGTCTGAAGCAAGAATTATGAGTTGTGATAATATATTGTCATAGTTTATTCTTTTAGGTTTTCTTACTGTCTGAGGTTTTTGCTTTTAAAGTACAGTAAATGTAAAGCTAATACTGTTTTTCAGTTTTGGACAGAGTGGGGAAGGGTTAAGTCATCTGTCTATTTGTTTTTTTTTTTGCTGTCTGTTTTCAGTTGGGTAGGTTAAGCCCAAAGCTTGGGGATATCCCTCGTAGACAGCTGTTATTAAAATATGTTTATCCATTGGAAAATTCCCCCTATCTTCTTCCTGTAACAACTTTTGGATTTCCCATCAATTTCTGTTTTGGTGTGATACCCCTGGGTCAGCATCCTAATCCAGGAAATAGATGTTGACTCAAAACAAATATGGCACTGGCCTTGTTTGGAGAAAACATGATAACGGTTATGTCAGGGGAATCTGTTTTGAACAGAAATTAACTAGAATTTTGGTAAATGGAGGACCCCCAACAATTAAAGAAATGGGACTTTAACGGAAACTCAAAATGTACTGAGGTAAAATTGCAAAATTTATTACAATATCTAAAAGATACACAAAGTAGTCATTAAAATTGAAACATAACACAGTGTTCTTAATACTATATGGTTACAATGGTGAAAAATATCCAGAATTAACCACAAAGTCAAGATGGAATATCCTTCTTGTCCTATTGGAAAAACACCAACGGAGAACCTACCTATTTCCAATAAGTCTCTTTTATCAGTGGTATGTTGTGGAGAAAGACAGTATATTCTATAACATGAATACATTTCAGTAAACATAAACATGAACAATAGCTCAAACAGAATAAGTAGTTTGCATACAACAGAACAAACTCATATATAATACATACATTTGGGTCAAATGCAGCCGTATCTATAGTAAAACTAAAACCTCTGTTAATATCTGCTGGCACCCCAGAGGCCACCATAGAGCATGCATGCCACACCAACACCCTCACACTGAGACTGCCATAGAGGGGGAAGAGGGAGAAGAAGTGGATAGGATCCTAGCTTGCTATAGTGTCCAAATCATAGCAGTGCATTATATCATCCTAGCACTTGTATGCTATAATGCACTACTGGACACATTCATTGATAATCATTACTTAGATATTTTTTCAAGATTGTCTTGACATCATAATGTATAGTTTAATAGCAATATACCGTGGGATGTAGGCAAATTTTATGGGTTGTGGATGGTAGATTTATTTACCATATTAACTGGAATTTATTTGTTTATTGCAGGTACTTATATAGCACCATCAATTTATGCAGTGCTTTACATATACATTGTACATTCACATCAGTTCCTGACCCTCAAGGGGCGCACAATCTAAAGTCATTAACTCACATTCATACATACACATACTAGGGCCAATTTAGACAGGAGCCAAATAACCTACCATCATGTCTTTGGAGTGTGGGAGGAAAGCAGAGTATCCGAAGGAAACCCACGCAGGCACAGGGAGAACTGCAAACTCCAGGCAGGTGGTGCCATGGCTGGGATTCTAACTGCCAGGCAGATGTGCTAACCACTTAGCCACTGTGCTGCCCAATTGGTATAAAATACATATATTTTACAGTCATGCTCTTAACATGTAAAAATATAACTGTGACTGGGTCCACTTTGTTTTTCTAGCATCAATATACCAAGCCAAAAATTCCTGGAGTTCTTTGAGGGGTTTTTTACCCATTTTGTTCCTTGAAATAATTTACGGATTAAATATTGTGCTAAGTTTTCATAGTTAATGATCCATATTGCTACTGTCATTTACCAAACCCATTTTCATAAATAGCTGGATCTGTCCTTGAAATTTGGAGCAAAGGTGACAGGAAAGTCACCCTTTACTTTGGTAAAAATGTACCCTTTACAGTTAATTATAGGATGTAATTTTAAGTTGGTTATGTTGTAGATAAAAACAATAAAGATTGTCAAATATTTACTATCTTTTCTTGTTATAATTAGGGAAGAGCTCAAAAATGAACACACAGACAATTACCAATTCAGCGAGCCAAATATCATGTATAATAGCTTCCCTCTGTCGATGGTTGCTAAGGACGCCGTCAAATAGAAGCACAATCCTTAACAACTGGTGATGTCACAAGCTTCATTCAGTTACATGTCCTGGAATCCCCAGCCATGTAAGAAAAGGGGTGGAATCCCAGTGATGCCATTAACTATATATGGTTATATACATATATGGTCAATTGCATAATTGGGAGGCCCTGCCCCCTTGTATATAACAGCTGATATCCACTGGACTCTCCATTCAGAGGGTGATACGTTAACAAGTAGGACATATGTTGGCTACAGCATTTTATTTGTCTTTTGGTGGGTTGTCAGCCATCAGGTATTGTGATTAACATGGATCTGTAACACGGGTGACTTGATTGATAATGGATTTACAATGAGGGACTTTTTTGGGATTTGTACGTTTTTAATAAAGGACTAGTCAAATACACTTTTAATTGTGAATGAGTAGGGGTACTCCAGGGTGCTTTCATATTCAGATAAGCCCCCAATCCACAGACCTCCACTAGCACTGGCCAGGGTTGTGGGGAAGAGGCTTTTGTTCTCAACAACATGGTGACAGGGTGCTGTGCCAGGGAGAGTTTGGGGAGTTTAAGGACCCACATCCACATGTCATAAGCGGAAACAGCAGCTGTATCCCTCCAACCACATGTCCCAATGAACTAAAATGGGACACCAGCACAAGGATTCACAGAGCACCTGTGCATCTCCGTGTTGGTAAAGGACAACCCTGCATGGGGCAAGGAGCAAATCACCTGTAAACTGGGCCTGATATGAATCATAGAACTTTATCTGGGTATTGGATGAAGTATAGCCACAAGAGCTTGAAATATGACTTTCTTAAGTATTAAAGGGTCAGTCTGTCAAGCGCTGTGATTTTTGTTTTATGCAGATACTGATTATGTAAATTACTGACTAGGTTAATAATTATTAAGGACTCTAAAAGCACCATGCCCCCATTTGAGTGTCTGACCCTTTAACCACTAACATGGAGTCTTTCCCCTTCTCTTGTTGAAGAAAGGGGGCTTATGTTTACATATGTATTCTCCACAGAGTAACATAAAAGATATCCATAACACAGAGAGAGACCCCTTTGAAGCCTAATGTGATATGCTCAGTAAAAAAACTGAAAAAAACGGTTTGCCTTTACCATGCCGGAGGATGTCTACCTGTGACCTAAATGTTCACTTGTTCACAAATGTTGCAGAGAAATGAGTGATCTGTTTTTATACATGCAATCTGATAATCATAACATGAAATAACATGTTGACATATACTGACACAGAGTCAACTGTAGAATGGCCCAATCTGCCATCTTGTTTGCTCCAAGCATGAGCATATTCTTTTGCTAATATATGTAATTAAAAAGTAGAGTAGGGGAAGGTTATAACCCCTGTCAGGTTTCTTGCCACCTGTGTTCCTTTGGAATGATTTCCCTTCACTTCCCATAGCCAAAACAGGAAGTGAGAAATCCCTCCAAAGTGAGAAGATCCCTAGCTCTCACTAGGGTCACCAGAGCTAATGTCGCCATTGGAAGATTTCCGCTCTATTACTGTTCTGGGGAGAACCCAAAATGTGGGACTTTATTTCACTTTCACTTTACAAACATGACGAATAGTGAAGGTGAATGATAGGTGCTCTAATCCCTCTCCACTCCATCTAAAACTTGAAAATAAATTTTACCTTAGTTATACTTTAAATTTGCCATTGCTCCCACATTGTGTAATTCTTATTTAATTGCAGTGTTATAATACAGTAACAGTGCATTCAAGTTTATTTTTGATATTGTCTTGCATAATAATATTGTTTTTCTCGTTTTGTTTCCTCTAGTCTGGAGCAAATGTACTTTTGCAAGATGTGAATGGCAACATTGCACTTGACTACGCCACAGAGGGAACAGAGTCCAATTCTATACTTCTGACATATTTAGAAGAAAATGGTAGGTATTAAAAGACATACATTAGACTTCAGTTGTTAAAGGACAGATGTCAAATAGTTTAGCATATTGTGATATTGTGTGCATGATCTAAGAACTTTTTATATATATATATCTTTGTCATTCTATCTTTCTATATATACTGTAGACAGTGAGTCACAGTATGTCTCATTTTATTGGATACTCTAAAAACTGTCCAGTCTTTGAAATATTGAAAATAATAGCTTCCTCTGCTGATATATAGATTAAGGTGGAAATAATCTTCTCTTGCCAAAAATATCTGATAATAATAGCAAAAACAGTTGGAGGCATCTAGCAGATAATGGCACGGGTGTTGTGATCCTTTGTTATGGATGAAAAAAAATCTGCTACTAAATCCAACCAGAATATGAAAAAATGGGAAATAAGGAATTAATTTCTAAATATGATGCAATTAACCACTTTAGGGCATGTGCATGTTTTTGCTTTCCCATGTTGCCTCACTTTAAAAAATAATAATGTTCATTAGGCTCAAATAACAAAGTAACACACCAGGAGATGTATACTTATTTTTAGAAAAGTGACAGTTATTTTTAGCTGAGTCCAATAAGATTTGAAAATTACAGCCACATGGCTACATTAGAGAGCTTAATCCCTGAGTTACATTTTTTATGAATTGTGCAAATATCCTAAGATAAGAATTTAAATGTAATCAGGTTTTTCTTATTTAAACCCAAATGTATATACACCTGCGCTATGTGAACACAAAATCAAATTAAATTTGAAAGACTGCAGCACCCTTCCACCAGTCAGGGCATCAAATGTGTTAAAAAATATAAAAAGCAATAAAAAAAACCTCAATATATCTGAAATATATACAATCAATAATTCATAATTGCATAGAGATGTCAACTCATTCATAAAAGTGTTTTCTAACATAAAGGGCTTTTTAAATATAAATACATAAAATATATATATATAGTTCATAAAAATGAATGTACAAATAGCAATGTGAGTAGAGAGAAAAGACTATGAAGAGAAAAAATATATGTAAATCCAAAAAACGTGATCCACAATAATGTTCAGCTGGGTGGATAGAACGAGAGATGTGCCATAGAACAGCACCACCATAAATGATTAATAGGCTTCTTAACGGACCCCTAGATTTCACACAGAGATCATAAAGCACCTTGCTGCTCCACAGCCACTAGTATTCTGGTTCCCAAAATGTAGTCAGCCCTCCCATCCTGGATGCCCTTGCTCCGTATGAAAAGATTCAAATACTAAGAGGACCAACATAGTGTAGTATATATGACAAGATATTTTTTTAAAAACAACTGAATTGCACTTATATCAAGCTTCAGGCAAAGACAGCATGATCTTACACGGCATAACTCTGACACCGCCAGAGGGTCCTCCCGCAGTGCAGAATGACATCACGTGTGTGACCTGACCCATTGAGCTTCTCTCTAATGAGCATCATGAGGTGAACAGAGGCTTTCTCATTGCAAAGATAGCTTTTTATTATTAGCAACATATATAAATATGCACTTTGTGTTAAAGAAAAGTAAGGCTAATATCTGAAACATACATTTTTTTCTAAATGAACTCCAAACTAACTAAAAAAAAAATAAACAAACTAGTGCAATTGAAGAGGACCTTCTCACTTTCTCTATAAAACAGTCAATAATATGGGAAAGTGTGTACATATATCAGTATACTTACCTATGTCCATGTGAATTTTTCATTTCAATGAATCTTTATAAGAATTTTGTATAAAAGTTGCAAAATTACATACAAATACTTCTATAATGTGACAATAAGTAAGAAAAACATAAAGGATATGACAAAGGGCACATAAAAGGTTAGTGCAATTCTACTTAAATCCAAAAGCAACGTAAAGAACTTATAGCAAATAAGAGAACACAATTACAGAAGAATCACATAGTAGCTGAATCTAATCATTATAGAATTGTAAATCAGGTGTATGAGGACTTATGTATGATACCACTCTAACCAGGGCTTCCTTGAAGTAAGAGCTACATGGTATTTCCCAACAGAGGATGCAAATATTGTAAGGTTGCATAGGTGGCATGCACCTGTGTTGACTGGATCACTTCCCTTACAGTAGGTGCTATAGGATCTTTTCAGGGCCTAACCAAGGTCAAACATGCTGCTAACAAAATATGAGTCACTTAGATTCTTAGGATGGGTGGGACAATATATATACCTAATGAGAACACCACCATTCCCGGGGAAATGGGAATTGATATATCTACCACTTGTGTTATTATGCAAAAAATTGCTGGCCAAAAGGTGGATAAATGGGGTCATGACCACAATATACAAAATAGTGTACCAGAGGCTCCACAATTTCTACAACAGTTAGAAGAAAAGTGTGGTGAAAATAAAATAAGGAGTCAGATACCAGTGTAGCAGGAACTTTTGGTATAATTCCCAAAGGTGTGTGCTTCTAGTTGTTGCATATGTGATACTCAACAGCTTCTGCCAAGTCTAGGGGGGTATACAACTTCAAGGTCTCGTTCCAATGCCATAATAGAAGTAGATTTTTTAAATTCAGCTTTATCATTAAGTATGATAAAAAATAGTAAGAGAATTTTTCTTCATTTTCTCTTGTTTTCATTTTGCCTCTGTGTTGCTTGGCCCCCTGCTCCTATGCCATTATTTTCACAATTTATGCTATGTGCAATACAACATTCCATGCATCTGATGGTAAAAAAAACTTTTACTGAGATCACACAAGATTTTTTTATCAGCACATCAGTATAATTTTGTGTGGTGCATTTGCAAGATGAGGGGCATGATGTCATGTGCTTCATCTCGTGCATGCCCTTTATGACAAAACCACGAGATCTCATAGTTTAGTTATGAGAATTAAGGTAAGAAAAAAAAATAGTGATACAAGCATACTAATGTGGCTTAGGGAAAGGGATAAAAGGTCTATTTTAAAATAAAATAACTCAATATTTTTCAGTAATATATGCTCTTTAAAAATATAAGTGATATACTAAATGTTCAATTTTATACCCCAAAAGTATACCTTAAGGCTAATGTACACAAATTGTTATACATGCTATATTAGGGTTTGTGTCAATAGGCTTTTGTTTGCTTCATGCAGGTTTTGCATTCCCAGTCTATAAAAATTCAAAACCTTATTAAAGTAGGGCAACTGCTGGTAAATATACCTGTCAATGAATTCTGAATGATCTCAGAAGTGTCTTCAATTGATCTCAAACTGATGCCATTGACACAGACCAAAGCCCGTCAACACAATCACTTACAGTTATAAGGGTGCATACAAAAAGGTAAATGCACTAGCTACCTAAAAAAACTATTGCATTGTTTTTTTCATATAGGACGTTTTGTATCTCTAAACTTAAGGAATGTGACTGTTTGCAAGCTTGGTAAAGATGGGGTTAATTTTTCTATTATTTAAAATATACTGTATCTAAAGACAACACTTTTCTTCTACAGTGCTCAGCATAAATGAGTACACCCCTTTTGAAAAGTAAGATCTTAATCAATATCTCAATTAACACAAGAACGATTTCCAAAAGTTTGACAAAATTTCATGTTATAGAACATTTGCTTAGCTCATTACATGAAAGTAAGGTTAATATTATGACTTAAATTACAAACCTTCAGTTTTACTCAAATTAGTTTATGCAAAAATGCACCCCACAACAAAAACTACTACATCTAGTATTTTGTATAACCTCCATGATTTGTAAGGAAAGCACAAAGTCTACTAGGCATGGAATAAACAAGTTGGCGGCATATTGCAACATCTATCTTTTTCCATTCTTTAAGAACAACCTCTTTTAGAGCCTGGATGCTGGATGAACAGTGATGCTCAACTTGTCTCTTTAGAATTCCCCATAGGTGTTCGACTGGGTTCATATCATACTTGGCCACTGAATCACTTTCACCCCGATATTGTTCAGAAATGCAACAATGGCCTTAGATGTGTGTTTTGGATCATTATAGAGTAATGATAGCATCTTCTCTTTCAATATAGAGCAGTACATATGTGAATTCATGATACCATCAATGAAATGCAGCTCCTCTACACCAGCAGCACTCATGCAGCCCCACAGAAGGATACTGCCACAATCATGTTTCACTGTAGGCACTATGCATTTTTCATTGTACTCCTCACCTTTGCAACGCCATACAATTTTGAAGCAATCAGTTCCAAAAACATGCATCTTGATCTCATCACTCCAGAGTAGAGTCCCAGTAGTCTTATTTTTCAGCATAGGCCCTGGCAAATTCTAGTCAGGATTTTTTGTGCATGGGCTTTAGGAGAGGCTTCCTTCTTAGATGACACCCATGCATGCCATTCTTCTGCAGTGTACGCCGTATTGTGCCATGGGAAACAATCACCCCAGTTTGGCTTTCTACTTCTTTAGCTAACTTCAGTGAACTTGCATGGTGATTTTCTTCAACCCTTCTCATCAGGAGATGCTCCTGCCGAGGTGTTAACTTCTGTGGATGGCCTAGACATCTCTGTGGGATGGTTGCAGCTCCATCTTTGTTAAATTTTTGCATCACTTTTGCTACAGGATTCTGACTGATAAATAAAGCTTTGCTGATCTTCTTGCAGTCTTTACCTTTCTTGAGTAAAAAATTATATTCTTTCTCAGGCCTTGTGACATTTCTCTTCCATGTGGTGCTATTGCTGACAGCATGAAATGGGAAGGGGTTTTCTTTGTTAAGAAATGCCCTTTTATAATCAACTGTTTGCTGGACAGTTATTAATTAGGATTTTGTTGTCTAAAATTTCGCTTTGCTCCCAAGATTTTCATTGGGGTGTATTCATTTTTGTGTGTGAAAATTATCAAATCTTTGTTTGCATTCAATGGCCCGCATTTGTGGGAGTATTTTGTAGTATAGTGTCCCATACAGGGGCAGACTGACAACTCATGGGGCCCCTGGGCAATAGGAAATCATGGGGCCCCTGTGTCCTCGCCCACACTCAAACCACACCAAAAAAAGCCTAT